GAATTCGTTTAGTTTGTGCACTTCGTGACTTTTGGCTCAAGTGGCTCTGACTGTGAAAAAGAGAGAGTTGTCCGCACTTGTGTGAGAGGTCAGGGTTCGTGCTTTCAAGGGAAAAGGTACCAGAGGGACCTTCGGTTTTTCACGTCAAGCTTCTTCGACATTTTGCACAAGCCAAAGCAAATTGGCTTGTTGCTCGCAAAATTGCTCTGATTGCATACCTTCTAAGGTCTCTTTGCAAGCACAAGCATGTTAGAGGCTTTGTCTCTTATGTATGGCTTGCATGATTGCTTTCACTTTGCTTCTTTAACTTGCAAGTTGAATTATGCTAAGTCTTGCGGGCTTATGTTTTTCTTCGCCAGCCTTGCGTCGGCTCTGCTTCCCTTTTTGCGAAGAGGGGCGCAATTGCTTTTTTGGTGCCACGCCGGTTGCTTTACTCAACCCAGACAGAAACTGTTTTGTGCAGAAGCTCTTGGTGCTCTGGGACCGGTGCTTTTTGAGGAATGGTTGAGTACAGCGCCTAGAAGTGGCTGCACATTGGTTTGCTTTGGAAGAAAGCGATCTTCATGCAATGCAAGAAAGTTTGGAAGGGCCTGCCTTGTTGGTCGAAGTCCAAGAAGCCAAGTCGAAAGCAAGGTCTTGGTGGCAGTCCTAAGCGCCAAGCTACGCACAGAAGGCGGCTCTCCAAAGTGGATGGCAATAATAAGGCCTGATGGAAGCCACCATTGCGTATCTTCCAGACAATTCTAGAGCAGCGGCAGACAGATCGGAGGTAAATTCTTCTTTTAAAAAGGTATTAGAACCAACCGACCTGGCAGATTCTACAACCCGCTCAGTGCATCTACGGTCAGAATAGAGCCAGAAGGTTGGATCTTACACCATGGACTCCAAGCAACAGACATCTTATTCTTTCCTTCAAAGCTTTTTGAAGCTTTTGAAACCTTGAAGGCAAAGGGTTAAAGGGGTTCTTTGAAGTTTCTTTGCACATCCTTTCTTCAAAGCCTTCAAAGCCTTTGGAAGCTTGAAGACAAAGAGTCAAGGCTTCAAAGCTCTTTGCAAGGTCTGTTAGTGCTACTTAGCTACAAGGCCACAGAAGGCACTTGCTGCAAACAGGGGCAAAATTAGAGACCTCAAGGCCCAAAACCCTTAAACCCTCAATTCTAACTGAACCCTGAACTCTAAACCCTAAACTCTTTTAAGTCTGAGACCCTGCTGTTTGGACTGCGCATGGAAGCGCCACGGCTACCCAGTCAAAGGCCTGCCAAAACGCAATGCCAGGGCCTGGAGACCGCAGAAGTGCCAGAAGCAAGCTGGTTAAGTTCCTCTCTTTTGGCTTCTTTTACTTCTTTGGTGCAGAAGAAGCTTCTTCTCTTGCAGAATATCATCCTTTTTGGAATGCTACACAGTGTCAGATCCAACCTCTGTCATGCACAGCAGGTTGTTAGAGGATCCGCCAGTTCAGGTTTGGTTCTGGCAGTGTCAAGAACAAACCTTCCTTTTTGGAGAAGGATTTACCTTCCAGTTTCATCTTCCTGTGGTGTCTGCAAAGGGTAGTTAAGGTTTTTTGCATGTTAAGGGCTTAGAGGTGCAGACTACCTGTAGAGAGAAAGAAAAGGAATGGTGTTGAATGAAATTGGGGAAGGTCCGGCTTTGTGATTTTGCATTAAGGAAGGCCCAGCTTTGTAATTTAGTATTTGGAAAAGGCCCGACTTTGTAATTTTGTAACTTAGCATTTGAGTGGAGGCCCGACTTTGTGATTTTTGTGCTTGGGAAGGTGTTGGAACCCTAGGTGAACCTAGAGTTCAAATGAACCCTGGTTCGGAACTCTATGTTCGAACTCTGGGGTTTCAATGTTCGAATCCTGGTAAAAATTGGGGTTCCATAGAATTTGAACTGGGTTTGTTGTATTCGGAAAAGGTCCGGCTTTGTAATAAGTATTCGGAGAGGTCCGGCTTTGTGATTTAGTATTCGGGAAAGGCCCGGCTTTGTAAAAAAGCATTTGGGAGGTGTTTGAACCCTGGGTAAAGCCAGGGTTCCAATGTTCGAACCCTGGGCTCTTAGAGTCTTAGAGGTTCAATGTTCGAACCTGGGTTGAACCTAGGGTTCCAATGTTCGAACCTGGGTTGAACCTAGGGTTCCACCTTCCAACCCTTACCCGTCAAAAGTTTGAACCCAGGGTTTGAACACCCTGCAACAACTTGTGCTTAGTCTTGCCAAGCTCCATGTTTTATCTTCCACAATTTTCCCTTTCGGTTGTCCAAAGCGGTGAGCTACCTTCCCAACTATCCACAGGCCAAGCTGCCTCTGTCGCGCTGAGATGCAAGAGGCAATTATGGGATTTGGCTTTCTTTCGGCTGCGGAACAGATTGCTGGTTTCTTTCACGCAGTTCACCTTGTTCCTTTTGTTCAAAGTGCTAAGTTTCCCTTAATGCTAAGCTATGCGGATCCTGACTATTGGCTGGCGGGCTTGCTACAAGCCTTTGAGGCCCACAACACTTGTGAGCAGAACCGTGCCGCCTCCATGCCGGTAGTATTGATCTCTCCAGCAAGGGAACAAGTGCGAAGAAGACAACGTGGGGCCAAGAAAGGGGAATTCACTGACTTGCAATTCAACATCCCGCCTGCTGCAGCCATTGCCTTGCTTGCAGGGATGACGCCGCAGGCTCCTCTGTGTCCGTGCATTTATTACGCCCATAAGAAAAATTCGGAAGAGTTTGACATCAGCGGACTGTCTGACCCTGAACTCCTTGAAAGCAAAGCTGGGCTTGGGCGAAGCACCGGGCACTGTGGAAAGTGCTAGACAATCCATAGGGTTTAGGTCCTATGCGCACATAGAAATGGAAACCTGGTATGTCTTGAGACACCGGCAGTCGCAACGCTTCGACCCGAAATGCCCTTCCCACCATCTGGACGCCTTGCGTTGCTTTCTTGCGCATGAGATTGCCTGCAACCGTGTGGACCACACCTGGGCAGTATACTAATTGGCGTGGCCGGATCAAAATCCAAAAGCTGTTTGTCGCACGCCGCGTGCTCCCAATGAGCGCCTTCCCGTGGGCAATGCATTGCCTCGTGAAATCTCACTTGGCTCTTTTGCTGGTCTGTCTTAGCATTGATGAAGTGCCTTGTCAGTTTGTTCGCTGTTGTGGACTGTGCTATTTTCTTGTCATCATATAATCCGATGATATTTCTGATTTAGGGTTGGTTGCTCTGTTCATTCTGCCTTTTTCAACCATCATACACTGTTTCCAATGCTTTTACACCACGTTGGATGTCTTACTCATGTCAGTGTAATTAAGGTACAAAGTGAATGTTTGTTTAATTGTTTTCTGAAGATAAGTTTTGAAACTAAACCATTTTTTGTCAAATTTTGTTCAGAAGATATGTCTATGAAAACCCAAGAGGATATGACCATGGAAGAGATAAGAGAACAGTTGGCAATTTACAACCGGTTGTATTACTACAAGCGAAGACAAGAGGAAGGGTTTATGCAGCAAAAAAGCGATTGTGCTTTGAAGTGCATTCAAAAGAAGAAGTTGAATCAATATATAAAATCAAAAGACAACAATATCAATAGCACAATCGAGGATTCAACCGAAGAGCAACTGGCAGAATTCAACAGCAGTCAGAATAAAAAAGGACCTAAGTATGACATGAATGATGTTAAAGTTGTGATGCCCATGAAAGCAAAAGAATGCTGATGTAATTTTCGAAATAAGATTAAATCAATATTTTTGTATTGTAGAGAAATGAGTAAACAAGAAATAATTATTAATGTGTATTACGATCGTGGAGGATTTGGGAGCAGGCAGAGGACCTTAAAGGAAGTGCGGGAAAAACATAGAAGTAGAACTATTGACGATGCTAATGAGTTTTTCAAGAAGAACGTGGAGGCAAAAAGAAAACCTGGGGGACAGAACGGTTTTGTGTAGCACCACATTCGGCATACGAGTGTCAAATGAACTTGTTTTTCATTGATGATTTGGAAGATAAAAAATTTCAGGTCGGTATGATCATGAAAGATGTCTTTGATAAGTTTATGCATGCGGTAGCAATAAAAGGCAAGAAGGAGGAAGATCTGGCTTCAGGAATGGTAGAGTGTTTGCATAAGATGGGGAAAAGCCTAAGATGATTTATACTGATGATGAAGGTGCTCTATCTAAAGCAGCTATTCAAATATACTTAAAGGAACAGAAAATAGAGCACCACAGAACAAGAGCACACGCGAATGTCAGTGAGAGGGCGATCCGAATTTTGAAAGAGATGTTATACAAAAGAGTTGAGGCTGACGAGAAGAAGGGGAAAAAACAATATTCAGTGGACTGATTCTATTCACGAGATATTGTTAGCATAAAACAACCAAATGAAATGATGAAGGCTTCTCTGTGGCAAGGGTAGCAGGTTGGCTGTGATTGAGGCAAGCCCCCAAGAGGCTACCAATTATGTGGTCTCTTCAGGAATACTGCCACGGGTTTCCCACACAGTCTTCGGAGCCGAGTTGTTGGCAGTAAACGTGGCGTTGGCGTACGAAGGAAGCTCTGACATTTTCTGTGACAATCAGGCGGCGGTGAGGTTTAAATATCAACTGCAGAACCAAGGAGAACAGCGGCTGCTCACCAGGGTGCTCTAGGACTCCTGGTTCCTCCGCAGCATTGTCCGTCACTGTCAACCAGCGTATCCAGCCGTTTTAGGTTTCACCTCACGTCTCCTGTGTGGGAGGAAACTGCAATGTGCGCTCGATTAGAACAAATCGTATGTAAGGGATCAACCTTGTCATAAAGTGGCAAGCCGAGCATCGTTCAATAATATGACAGCCCGAACAAGAGCTGGGCACAATCACTGCACCGCATTCGGGGGCGATGTTGCGCATGGTGGGATGAGCTCCAATCTTACATAGCAAGCGTTTGGTCTTGGATGGTTGACATGTTTGTTGAGTGGCAAGTCACTGTGTGAATGAGCGTGGTGTGTACTAAGTGTGTACCACAGTTCTTGGCGACGCTTCTCAGGCCAAGCCACCGCCGACCAAGCTGCAGCTGTGAAAGTGCAGCGGAGAATTTCTTCATCTCCCAATCTTTCATGGAACACGCCTAAGATTCCAAGAAAGGTTCAGCTGCCATGTGCGAGTGACACCACCTGGCATGGTGTCCCAGGCTTCGGAATTTGATTCGGTGCGACACTGGCGAGCCTGTAGATTCCTCGGGGTTGCTGTATGCTTCAGTAAGTCGAGAGAGACTTTTTGAAAAGGCGACTGTTGGAATGAGGCGGGTCCACAAGCCTTAGCCTCCTCATTGATCGGCCTCTATTTCTCTGCATCCTGGTGCCTACGTGAGCATGTGAGTCACGTCAGTTCTTTCATGTGACAATGGAGCGTGCTTCTCGTTTTTCAGGTGTCCGCCATGCCATTATTTCGCGCCGATACTGGCACAAGCTTACAAGCAGATTCGAGATGCCCACGGTGCTCATCTCAGAAGCTACGCGAGCCAACTGCTCTACGGAAGGATACGGTGTGATACCGAGGTGCAAACTCTTTTGAAATCGTGCTCATTCCATTGGATACCGACGAGGCTGCACCTAGCTGATTTTTCCTTTGGTGCTGTATGATGCATGACTATGCATGATGATGACCAGCTGGTGCAGAACATGTGGCAGCTCCACATGGCAAAAATGCCATGGATGTCACTTCCGCCTGCTGCTCGGAACTCATGGTTTAGCTGTCTTCCAGGTCAGTGGCCTTAGAGTGTGGTCAATGTTGCAGATGATCTGATTTGTTTTGGCAAGGGGTGGGCTATATTTTCCATCGTGCATGTTTTTGAGCAGCTTTCAACTTTGATACAGTCAGTCAGTCGCAGCAAGCGCATGCATGTACACAAATGCGTAATTGGGGAAACATGTGGTGCATGCTGGAGCTCACAAGGCATGCTGTAGTCAGAAGTGGTTGCGGGAGAGGTTAGGCGCCAATGTCAATGCCATGGTTGGACAGGTCCACCAGAAAGCGCGGTGGTGCTTTGGTTTTGCTTTGCTTTGCTGCTAATTGCATGGGCTGGTTGGGAAGCACTCCGCAACCGACCCGAATGCGTGTGTGCCTTCGTGCCGAAGACGACACGCTCGAGCGCCTAAGCCGTGTGAGCCGTGTACCTTCCAAGCCACCTAGTCAAGAACCGCAAGAAGGCTCGTTGATGGGTGCCGTGGGTGGATCTGTGCTTGGTGGACTCTTGTTGGGCCCTTTTGGAGCAGTGTTCGGTGCAAGTCTAGGTTCTGACTTGGGCCGCCTGAACAGAGATCAGGCTTCGGTGGAAGCGCTCGGCTTAGATGCAGATATGGTCAATCTGGCAAGGACCGTGGCAAAAAGTCTTGCAGATGCCGTTGAAGACAAGAAACGTGTTATATCCGTGAAGGATGACTTGGCCATTAGAATTGTGAAACTGGAGGGTGATGTGGAGAAGCTTTCGGACGAAGCCATGGCAGCATTGCAAGCTGGGGATGAAGATGGAGCTCGTTCAATCTTAGAAAAGAAGGTGCCACTTCAACAGCGGTTGACAACGTCAAAGGACGAGCTCAAAAAGGCCTTAGAGCGGGTCTCGGTGGTCTCTGCAGCTGTCCAAAGACTTGAAGGTGAAGCTCTCAAGGTGGCATCATTGCTAGAGCGAGCGCAAGCAGCTACTGGCTCAGAGCGCGCTGCCTTGGCCGACGAAGCCTCGGCCATGACGGTCAAAGATCCTCTCCTAGACAAGTTCGACAGACTGGAGAGGGATCGCTAGGGATCGCTTCCTTCCATAAGAGTTGTGTGGCAAAAGCAGTTTGTGACATATTCCGTGGTGCCGCTACGTGCATTCTTTGTCGATTCGTGCACGTGCCCTTGCACCGGGTGGGAATCATGTGCATGCCATGCCGCTGTACATCCGCACTTTCCTCAGCAAATCAGGCTGAAGAACAGGGAAGCCATTGTCAAGCTGTTCACCACATTCTGTGTGACTGAGGCAGCATGTCAGCACATGCGCCTTCGAAACCTTCTCTTGTATGTCTGTCGGCTTGGTGCAGGCTCCACGATTAGTGGTACTCGACTCAACAGGCACAGTGCGCCTGGCAGGTTTGGATGGTTCTATTGATTATTTTGCGCGCAAGGCTCCATGCAGACAGCTGTTTCACATCGCTCATGCACTGACAGGTGATTTCAGAAAATGCACGAGGAGGACAAGGCATTCGGTCGGGTCTGCCCTGGAGCTTTGAGTCAGTTTGCTGATGTTTGCTGATCGTGAACGTTCACCTGCTGTCAGCTTAAAGTGCTCAATCAGAGATGAGCATGTTGCCACATGCAGCGGAATCAGAGAGACTTACATTGACATAGCTTCGGGCCCAACTTGAAGACGATATTTTGGCCCAAGTGACAAGTTTCCACAGCCCAAAGAATCTGGACAGGGGTTCGTGTTGTAAGTCCACGTGCGCGTCCGTTTCATGGCTGGCTCAGATGCAGGTTCCAGAGGCAGCTTGTTTGAAAGTTTGATTTAGGAAGATTCGGTGAGAGGTTGACCTGCTGACAGGCTACAGCGCGTGGCCCAACTGGACAGAAGCACTGGGCCTTTCGGAGGGGCAGACTGAGACATTCCAGCGTGCTGGCAGCAAATTCCTCAAGGCGATTCTTTAGCTGCTTGTCTTGCCCAGACTCCCCCAAACCCCAGACTCCAGCAGACGCTAGACTCGCTAGACATGGCATGATCCCATCTGCAAGTCGACCAGCTGGCGAGTCCAGTCTTGGCAGGCAGTGGATACGGCGAAGTCGCATGCCGAAAGAGGATTTTTCCAAGGACTCGGGTGGAAACTCTCGTTTGCTCCATTGCTCCATTTTGACCATGCCTTTCCCTCTCTCCTTCTCCTGTCTTTCTCTTTCTGTCGCTTCTTTTTCACTCCTATCTCTTCCTCTCTTTCCCTTCCAGCGCTCTTCGGCAAAGTTGCCAGACATTCTACTTCTTGAGTGCAGGAGTTTCTCAGGTCCGTGCGGCGGTGGACCGGCAAATGTCAAGTGCAGCAAGCTCGTCTCAGCCGGCACCCGGGCGATTTGGCAAGCAACCTTCGAGACATGACTTGCCGAGCAGAAGCTTGGCATTTGAATTCAGAGTGCATTGAACAACTAAGCTCCAAGCTCCCCCCTCACCCGAAACTCGACATAACCGACATATGAATGTCTCTCAGACGAGTCATCCCCCGGCACAGTTTGCCCTTCAGGCTTTAGCATCCGGGTTTGCTCTTGGAACCTTCATGGCTGTGCCATTGACCCGGAAGACGACATTCGACCATGGCTGTTCTCGGCTGGCCAAGCTGACATCTACATCGTGGGTATTCAGGACTGTCGTCCTGACTTCACCAAAGCACGTCCGCTTCCGGCTTTGATGTTAACAGGAGCTCGTGGAACTTGGACCAATGTCTGTGTTCCTGAATACGGATGGCCATGAAGAGAGACAGTCTGAGTTGGAGCTTAAAATTGAGGCAGGTTGTGGAAAACACGTCCTGGTGGCCGGAGCTTTGTTTTTGCTGCTTGGGCGTTTCAGGCGGCTCTCGCTGCGACTGGACTTCGCTATTTGAAGATATGCAGCTCCTGGGATATTAGAGCGCTTCCTTTGAATCGGGGAGTCATGGGGAAGAAAACTTGAGAGAGCTCCTCTCTCTCGCTCTCTCTCGCTCTCTCTCTCTCCATCTCTCTCTCTCGCTTCTTCTCTAAATTGAGACTGGTCGTGTCGAGGCTTTGGCATGGTGGGCCTGTCGCTCCTGGCCTACGCTTCCGAGAGTCTCCAAGAGCGCGTGGGTGAAATCGACTGCGATCGGGTGAAGACGGGAATTGAGGGTCTGAGTGGGAATAAGGGTGGCTTGTGCGTCCGGTTCCTGCTTGGGCCCATGTCTTTGTGTTTTGCAAATGTCCACCTGCCATCTGGTACGGGCAAAGCTGACGAGCGGAATGAACACCTCAACGAGGCACGGATTTGCGGACATAGATTCGATGCATGGACTTGCACGGTGTTGCACGGTGTTGCACGGTGTTGCACGGTGTTGCTTGCAAACGGCTGCATTCCTTGCCTTCCCTGTGCAGGTGTTGTCCTACGCATTTCAAGGGACTTCTCGAAACGGCTCTACGCGACCCTCCAAGAATGGTTTTCATCGAGCTTCTGTGTACACAGCTGCCGAGCACGATTTGACAGTCGTCTTTGGCGACTTGAACTCGCGGCTCGCAGACCTCCCAAATGAAGATGGCTTCCCTAAAGGAGACGATGCCTGTACTGTGCGCTGGCCGATACTCGTAAGCCCCATAAGGTTGACAAGATCAGAGGATGCTTTGATTCTTGCCTCAGGACCGCCAGAGGCATGGCTGTGGCTTCGTTGAAGTCAGAAGAGCACGAAATGCGAAAGCATCATTACTTGATATGCTTGATATTACGAGCAGCTGAGGCTTTTCGATGAGCTGCTGACCGGCAGAATACGATGTACCCGCCACTTTGTTTGCAGTATCGCTTTGTGTGTTGCACTTTGCGCGAGTGTCTCATCGCTTGTATGCTTGCAGGGTCATTGGGATTTCGCGAGGCGAGGACGATTTGACTGCATGACTGCATGACTGCATGATTCTATGGCCAATGAAGCACTTTGTTTGTCCTCCTGTTCCGTACGATTGGGAACGATAATCTGAGCAGCAGAATGGTGACAGGCAGAGGTGACGTTTCCGCCAACGTACAAGCCGTTTGGCAGCAGGAAAAGGATTCTTGTCAGGGCTGGTGCTGCATTGGTCGTTCCCTAGAAGCAAGATTTCACGAGGTATGTTGTTGGTGGTGATGGCCTAAGCCCTTCTCGCACACCAGCGTGGTGTGATCGCGTGATCTACCGTTTCCAGCCCTCTGCTACTTGGATCTCTCGGATTCAGATGCTTCATCGTGTTCCTCAACATTCCTAAACCCTAGCGGCCCTAGCAGCCCTAGCGAACCAGAATCTGGGCCCCAGCTTGCAAACCTCCCTTCGGCAGTTGCCCAAAACGGGTCGGTAGGCGACATGTCTTCAGCTGTCCTTGACACCCGTTGTGCAGGCGGCTGATGTTGCAAAGAGAGTCCTCAACCCGAGCATCGTGCAGCCTGAGGTCCCACTGACATTTTTGAGAACATTCTTGTCCTCTGTGTTCTTGGCAATCAATGTGTCTTAAGGTGGAAGTACTGGAGTATGACTCCTACGGAGATCTCAGAAGGAGCAGTCGCCATGTTGCTAGCAGGGTTCAATGTTATGAAGCGATGCTTTGAAATTGACTGCGGTTCCCTTGCTGCAAAGCTCTTCGATTGCGAGGACAAGTGATCACCGTCCCGTTGCCGCCAGTTGGATCAATTTGGCAGGGATTGTGGGGTGCATCTGCCAAATCTAGCAAGTGAGGCGACCTTCCAGATCAGCATTCCCAACGAAGAGTTGGCTTGACTTGTTTCCACCATCAAGCTTCGTGCAGAGCTGCTGTCAGTGTGATCCATGATGGGCCCACCGGCCCACCATAATTCCCGGGAGGGTCGAATGGATCACGGCAAATGAGCTGCCAAAGATGCAGCCGTTTCGGTGGGCCAGTCAACAGCAAAAATGGTATCCTGCAAGACCAGAGACGAGATTCGCGAGCATCTCGACATGCTGTCGGGGAAGTGGAAGCGGAAGTTGTCATGGAAGGCTTCAGACTTGATCCCTGCAAGGTTTTGGCTTTGGATGCGATCCGCTGCGTGCCTATGACAAGTTGATGGAGGACTGCCTGGGGATCGGCAAGCCAATCTGAAATCAGTTGCTTCTTGCGCGGTAACAGGGCTGGATCGATGCCGCAGGGCCATCTGCGCATGCATCCGGAGGACTTTGCGAAGGCTGAGGCTGAAAGAAAGGAACAAATTCTCTGAGGCTGGGTGCCAGCTTTATTTACATGGATGGATTCTGGATGTTACTTCCTATGTCTGTACTGACCTGAAGTGCCCCTTGACTCCTGGCAGTTCTGTCGAACGCAAGTACAGTATGCAGTACTGGAAATGATTTCTACAGCAGCGGCAAGTAGCGCATATGCTGCCATACCCACTGGATATGTAGTTACCATTATGATGAGCTGATTAACTTTCGAACATTTTTGTGCTGTAGCATGGCACGTCAGGTGGTCTTGCAGTCGTGCAGCTGATCCTGTCCCGATGTTTCGGCTACAAACAGGATTGTCCTGCAGTCCAGTAAGTAGGTTTCGGATACGGCCCCCCCCCAGATTCACCATGGGACGCCGCTGGGTGCTCAGTTGACCTGCCATTAGGCAGATGAGCGGTCAGTTACGTGTGGACATAATTCCGGGAACCGAAACATACCGGACTGCGACCCGTGGAAGCAGAAGGGTTTGCAGAAGCATATCTCCGTGGAAGCGATGCTTTTTGTATGGACAGTGTGCCTAAATATTGCTGATCATTCATTGTAAGCGCTTGCGCGCCGCCCGGCAGTGGGCCGGCCCAATGCGGGGTGTAGCGTGCGCATCGCAGACGAAGGAAAGCCCAGTCATATGTCACTTGGAGTAGCACCATGCACGTCGTGAGCTCAGGACGTAGGAGGGCTTCAAGGGGTTGAAGGGGGTGTGAGGAGGGGTGCTAGGACAAAGGGTGCTAGGAGGGGTGTCAGCGGAGTGGTTGGAAAGGAGGGAAAGCGACCAGATCCCAGTCTGCTCGTTCTGGACGCCTAGCGGTCGGAAGTTACTTCTATGCTGTGAGACCTCGGTCTGTTACGGTAATGTGTGTAGTTCTAAAAAGACGAGACTCTGTGCTTGGGCGATCTTGGGCCGACGCCAAGATTACGAATCCACCCACATGAGCTTGTGCCTCCGACAGGCTTCCCAAAGCCCCATCAAGAGTTTAGGGACGTCTGCCGCAAACTCGGCGGAAGCTGCGCGAGGAAGCTCCGCGCGGAAGTTCCACGAGGAAGCTCCGCAGAAGTCGGGCCTTTTCCTTTTGAGTTTGTGCTCCTGCAAGACGCATGTGTAAGTTCTAGCATGCCACAAGAGATCCATCGCAGAACGGGTGCGGCAACGTGGCAACTACCCCGCTGTATCGCGCAAGAGGCTTTGAACTCGGCCAAGTTCTTTCATGTGCACCGCTTGAAGCCACCAACTCTCAGACCTCTCAACCACGTCGAGCCCACGACAATGTTTCGTCGAGCCCGCTTTTGACTGCAGACGCAAGTTCTGGTTCATGCTTTACAACCTACTCGCCTCACGAAATGAGCTCGCGGAAGTGTCTGTAGAAGCACCCCCCCCGGAAGATGGAAAAATGTACTTGCAGAAGGACTGCAGACAGGGTTCCGCGGAAGGGTGAATGATTTCAATTCAGACCATACAGGAATGAAAAAACACACGGGGAGGGGTGGCTGTTGACTGTATTTAGCATTGGTGTCTAAGCGGAGACTCTGCTGAATGATAAGGCCCAGCGAAGTGCTACCGATACAACAAGAACAAGCCCTACCCGAAGACCCGCTACTGCCGTGGCGTGCCTGACCCGAAGATCCGAATCTTTGATGTCGGAAAGAAGAAGATGCCGTGCGATGAGTACCCCTCAACGGCCCACTTGGTTTGCGACGAGGACCAGCAGCTGACCAGTGAGGCCTTGGAGGCTGCACGCATTGCCGTCAACAAGTACATGATCACCAATGCCGGAAGAGACTTCTTCCACATCCGCATGCGACCTCATCCTTTCAACGTGCTGCGTATCAACAAGACCTTGTCCTGCGCCGGTGCGGATCGTTTGTCAAGCGGAATGCGAGGGGCCTTCGGGAAGCCCTACGGAACGGCGGCCCGAGTGGACATCGGCCAGGTTCTGATCTCTGTGCGCACCAAGGAAGAGAAGATCAATATCGCTGTCGAAGCGTTGCGCCGTGCCAAGTTCAAGTTTGCTGGTCGCCAGAAAGTGCACATCTCCAACAAGTTTGGCTTCACTCGCTTTACGAAGAAGGAGTACCACAACTGGAAGGCTCAGGGGCGTCTCATCCCGGATGGTACCAATGTGCGCTGGCTGTCGAGCCGTGGACCCCTGTGGCGACTGATCGGCCGTGATAACGCCTGAGTCCTGGATGTTGATCGTGTCTGCAGGTCATGGAAAATGTTTTGTCCGGCTTGTCCATATGTTGCATAGTTCAGTATCAGCAGCAAGTTGATGCACTGCGGCTGTTTGTGCTTTGCATCATGTTGCCGAAAGCCGTACTTCTCAAGCTCCACTGGTTGTAGAAGTGCAGAGTTTTTGCCATGGGTCGGCGTCGCTGTCTCAGTAAGAACTTCTCCTATTCATGAGTTGCACTGCATCGTTTGTTCTTTTCTGCATACTCCGTCAAGTATCCGAGGTCCGGCGAAGTGCTACCGATACAACAAGAACAAGCCCTACCCGAAGACCCGCTACTGCCGTGGCGTGCCTGACCCGAAGATCCGAATCTTTGATGTCGGAAAGAAGAAGATGCCGTGCGATGAGTACCCCTCAACGGCCCACTTGGTTTGCGACGAGGACCAGCAGCTGACCAGTGAGGCCTTGGAGGCTGCACGCATTGCCGTCAACAAGTACATGATCACCAATGCCGGAAGAGACTTCTTCCACATCCGCATGCGACCTCATCCTTTCAACGTGCTGCGTATCAACAAGACCTTGTCCTGCGCCGGTGCGGATCGTTTGTCAAGCGGAATGCGAGGGGCCTTCGGGAAGCCCTACGGAACGGCGGCCCGAGTGGACATCGGCCAGGTTCTGATCTCTGTGCGCACCAAGGAAGAGAAGATCAATATCGCTGTCGAAGCGTTGCGCCGTGCCAAGTTCAAGTTTGCTGGTCGCCAGAAAGTGCACATCTCCAACAAGTTTGGCTTCACTCGCTTTACGAAGAAGGAGTACCACAACTGGAAGGCTCAGGGGCGTCTCATCCCGGATGGTACCAATGTGCGCTGGCTGTCGAGCCGTGGACCCCTGTGGCGACTGATCGGCCGTGATAACGCCTGAGTGCCATCATGAAAGCAGGTACCTATGCTGCGAAAAGCTCAAGGTAGACATATACACTTCTACGAATTTCCTCGCTGTCTTGCATATCGTCTTATATTGCTCCGTCCATCCTTAGTTTAGGCATATTCTACCAGATCATATAGCGACAGTGGAGCTAGGGATGATTTTGCCTGTGGCACGGTGGAGATGAAAACGATGCGTGATGCCAGTTGCGGCTTGCTGTCGGCGATGGACTTGAGTGGTTCAAAGCATTCCACAAGCAGCGTGCTGTTGCGTGCTGTTCTGTGAAAGGCTCCTGGAGTCGCTGCGAAAAGCGCTCGAAGGCCTCCTGTGCTTCACTTGGCATGGCAGTTCAGATTTCTTGGCACTTGCTGTGGTAGCTTTTGGGATCTTGATGCTGAAATGCCATTTTCCTGGCTCTTAGGTAGAAGGATCATGAGTTGCCCCGAGCATGAACATGAACACATGGAAGGATGTGTGGTGGTCGTTGGGCACCTAAACTGGCAACAGGATGCGCGCGAAGAAGTTCAGCTGGTTCACTTACCTGCAAGGAGTGGCGATCGTGGTTGTGATTCTGTTCACAGTGCAGCACCTCAATCCATCTCCCGTGGAACAGGAGGTTCCAAGAGTCAGCACATCTGTGCCCGTGGAAATTTCTTTGAGCTCCACCGTCGATCACAAGCGGAGCGAACCCGTATCATTGAAGGGTGAGCAGGGTGAGCAGGGTGGAGACGACTTCGTTCAGCCACGACTAGTGGCGGAGAGGCAAGATCTCGTGGCATGGATCACTGGCATTGCAACGCATCAGGAGTTGGATGCTTTGAAATTGTTGCGCTCGACGTTGTCACTGGGCCGAGATGCCTTAACCATCACGCGTCAGGTGCAAAAGCTTCGGCCAGACGGCTGGATGTTTTGCGTTCAAGAGGGAGAGATATGCCATTGTGAAGGCCAGACCCGGTATGGTGACTTTGAGCTCGACCAGTGGGTTGAGAAGAAAGACTTCAAGTCACCCATTCTGTGCCATCACAGCCAGTACGGATTGAAACCGGAGCAGGATTTCTCTCCTGGTAAACTGAAGTACTGCCAGTGCAGGGCACCAACCCCTAAGTGCCCCAACGGACAGCCTTTTCGGGCTGAAAATTGTCCAGATAGCAAGAAGGCTTGCCGGGCTGGATGCCTGTCCAGGATGCCCAAAACAATGAGTTCTGTCACCCCCCAGCGCGCAAAGCTCTGCTCCAAGTCTGAGCCAAACGAGTTGCTGTGGGCCTGTGATTCCAAGAAGTCGTTGAAACCTCGAAAGGGTCATTCGCACAATGATGCCGAAGATCTCTTGGAGCGTGGCATGGCAAGAATCTGCGAGGATCCGCAGCTAGTCCCGGAGGTGGAGGTTTGGCTGGAGTGCGACTTCGTGTCGCAGTGGCTTCGCTGGACAACCGCTGCATCTCCTTGGATAGAGGAAGCTTACGTTACATATGTTGGGGGACCCAAAGACAGCAATTATGAGTGGCAAGCCACGAACCTGATTCGATCAATTGACTTATTCTCAAGCCGTCCTTTGGTCATTGTCATCTTCGGGGATCAGTTTGTCCCTCCTTTATCCTGGCAGTCTATGCGAAATGTTATAGCATACCGGATGAGACCCATCTCACGGGGAGTTTCTTTCAACTTCAACAAAGTTCGATCAATCCTTGCATCTCGAGTCATGGTAGGGATTCAGCTGGACACGGATCAGCTGATATTCAAAGGCATGGATCAGGTCTTTGAGGGGACACGCCGAGAGGTTGGTGAGTTCTATCCTTGGCCAATCCTCCCCGTTCACTGGATGTCCAGAGATGACACGCCCGGAAACCCTTATGCGCACTATGCTTTCAAAGGCTGGGATGGTCCTCAGAGCATGCGCTGGTGCCACGCGCATCCAACTTGGACTCATTTTGCGCTACCTTGGTTCGGAGATCTCTTGCATGAAAGAATGCTAGCTGCCACAGGCAGAAAAACATCCACATTGGTCTTTGACTTAGAGCAGGTTCGAGAGACTGGCATCAGTGTTGTAGCTCTTGTCAGAAAGGGTGACAAAGCGAAAGTCAAGAGGCATGTTGAGATGTCAAACGCTATGTGGGAGGACGAAGACATGATGAATGTGAATCTATGGCGACACAAGGTCAACAATTCCTGGTGCAAGTTTGACTTGGAACCAAACCTTTTTCTTCTCAGACGGAGCCTGGACAAAAGAATGTATTTTGATCCAAAATGGTACCCAGATGGTATGCCAGTCCTTTTCCTCTCGATCCATAATACGAAGAACTTTGATCCTGCCGACCTCCTCCTTCGCCTAATGGAGCTATGCCAAAACGGTGTCGAAGATTTAGAGTGTCCGGCGAAGGATTCGGAATTCATGATGCCCATCTGTCGCGCGGGTGTTCAGCAAGAGCGCGAGCTGCGGATGTCGATCCAAGACTACGCTGCGAAGGCTTGCTGCTGCTTGGAGCCACGTTGGTCTCACCCAGTGTTCTGGAGTGGCCACTGGTATGAAAGCTTGAGAGAAGTGCCAGACAGAGCTCGCGACGGTGGTGCAAGGCGGAAGTGCCTCATACCTTGACGAGAACCGGTAGAAGGGCAGCTTGGCACACCATGGCACAGCAGGATCAACCAAGAAGGCCGTGCTCTTGTTCTGCAAATGTCTGCAACATGCCGCCGACGACATCTCTGAGCCGAGAAGGCGGAGGGCGAAGTGCTGAAGCAGCTCAAGGTGTGCAACCCGATGGTGTTGCTCTGAACGTGATGTCGGTGGAATCTCGTTGACCGCACGGTCCACCGAAAAAGGGTCGTTCGATCTCAGTTCATAGGTCACATTAGGCCACTTCATCGGACTTTCATGTGCAGATACCAGGCCGGTCCAGGTTAGCTTTGACCCTTGCAGGTTGCGGCGTTTTGGCAGTCAATCATTCTGCATCTTTGCTTGTACATCATGGCTAGCTTTGCAACACATAATGATCATCCGCGCTGTGTCAGACACGCCGTGATCCCTTCAGGCAGCAGAAGATGGACTGAGACCCTAGTTATGGCTGTTCGGACGATTTCCGCATAAGCTGTGTGGAGATCGTCGTTGCCAGCGAAAGAGAGTGCGACCTGTTGAAGCGTCCCCTTCAACTGCTTGCTTTGCAGTTTTTTCAGAACATTTTGGGTCCTCAGCGTTGGGATCAAGACCTTGTACATGGCAGTTTTGCCTTTTCCCTTGGCCTGAGTGTGGTACCTAGCTTCACGGACTTCACTCAATGCCACGTGCTCTGCGATCCTTTGAGGCTCTGGGTATTCTGTTGCCATGGATGGCCATGACATGACCAGGCCGTGTTGCAGCTTTCAACAGTTGCATGCAGCTTGTTCGGCTTGCCTCGCAGCTCCTTCTGCTCACGCAGGCCACTGCACAGTACGGCCTGGCAGGCGTTGTCGTAGACCCTAAAGCAGTCTTTACAAGGGATTTGGACACCTTGGAGCTGTTTAGTATATGTCGAGACTCTGACAGGGTCATGAGTCATGGGGGCATGGAATCCGGTTTGCATCAAAGGGAACTGGCAGGTAGCTGTGGCTCTGCAAGACATGAAGTTCTCTGCCGCGCATTTTGTCGCCTTTGAGGGATTTCGAGAACCTTTGCATGGCACCGGCCCCAGGTGCAGACCCTCCATGACGCAATGCTAAAGTGGGCTTGTGATGAAAGTTAGCTGTCTAGGCTTCACATGTCAGGCCACAACTACACAGTGGGTGCACGACTTGGCTCCAAGCTGCTTCAGGCATCCCCTCTGGCTTCAAAGGTTTGAGACAATTTTTGAGACAGTTTGAGACACACTTGTCCTCCGCTTTGGACCGCTGCTTGACTGCTTCAGGGAGATGGCTACGTAGTCGATTTTGGCGACTTGAAAAAGGCAAGAGTAGTGTGTTGGTTTGAGGGTGCAGACGTGACAGCCGGCATAGTTTTGCATGTAGAGTCAGTTTGGCAGGTCATTCGAGGCATCTGCAAGGAGTTAGACCAGCGGACGCTTCTTCCTGCGAAGAGCGACGTTCTTTCCTTCCAGCAGGCAAGGTCCGAGTCCATGGGATTGTCGTGAATCCGAATCCCTACGCCCAAGGACGAGTCTCAGCCAGACAAGCTGGAGATACAGTGTCAGGGTGGTGTCCGGCTTGTGCTTCCTCGGCAGGAGTTGTGTTGGCTGCCATTGGCGAGCTGTAGATAACTGCAGCTTCTGACATCGTTTTGGAGTAGCTTCATGTATCTTCGTCAAGTAAGTCATTGAAGTGCATACAGAGTATTGTTTTGGAGAACACTTCATGGAGGACTGTGTCCTGCTCCCTGTGGTGCACACCACTGCAGAGGACTTGATAACGGGGCCATCACAGAATTGAGGAATGCAAAACGAAGCCCGTAATCGTGATGAGTGAAGATGCATGCGCAGTTTTGAGCATGCAGGAGCTCGCGGAATACATTGCCACAGAGGTTGCCTGTCACAAATCAAGGATGCGCGACGGTCCACAAAGATGTGCAGTGGGCAACGTTCCAGGTCATCTCCAGGATTGGTAGATTCTTGCAGAAGCGCCAGTGTGAATGGCTGGAGGCCATTGATTGGGCTGTCTACAGGATATGCGGCTCCCCAAACACACCCAAACTTGTCGCGTCAGGTTCAGGTCTCTGAACGTCCTGGTCAGGGAGCCCGACGCCAAGAAGCGGAACCTATTGCTTCGCACATGCATAGCACTATATGTGTGTATATATGTACACACGTACATACATATGTGTATATATGTATATGTATATGTATATGTATATGTTTATGTATATGTATATGTATATGTATATGTATATGTATATGTATATGTATATGTATATGTATATGTATATGTATATGTATATGCACATGCACATGCATATGCATATGTATATGTATATGTATATGTATATGTATATGTATATGTATATATATATATACACATAGATCTACATGTATATGTACACATACACAAGTACATAATTATGCCCCCATGTGCGTGCCGTTTACCATGTAATGTCTATCATGCCTGGACTCCCAAGCAATCAAGCCAAGTGCTGGTCCTATGCCAGGCATGCCATGTAGCCTCATTACGACCAGATCATGCTGTGGTTCCTGCCACCTACTGAGTCCGGACGCGTGGAGGACTTTCGGATGTGGTTCCTAGTGTCGTAGCTGCTAAGGTCAGGCTAGAAAGGAGCTTGCCACGGCCATGTGCGCTGTCTCGGATGATCCAGTTGTTGTATATGTATCTTGCTGCCGCCCCTCTGTGGGCAGCTGCTAGGTATGGTCCCTGTGAGCAGCATGGATGATCCTGTAGATGAGGCAAGGGCTCGAGGTCAAAGCCGTGCACTCACTCTGCTTGTGTTTCGTGAACCTGCAGGTGATCCGCGAACTGCTTGGGATCCCAGGCTACGATCGCTTCAATGCTCAGACTGCTTCTGCAGAGTGCAACTTTAACCCGACCTGTCTGAATGGCGGGTTTGTCGATCTTCTCCAGGGAGTACGTGGGTGGTTCGGGGTGGGCTTTGGTCCATAACCCTGCTATCGGCCTCGGATCGGACTTTGGACAGCGAGGTGCCATGTTTTTCCCGCAAAATCATCCATCGGGTAAAGGCTTCGCTAAAAGCTTCGCTCCTTTGCTCAAAAGTTGCCGTGTTGGCATGCAACTTGGATGTGAAAAGCGGCAACCCCGCACTGAGGCCAAGGGCCTCCAGCTCTGAGGCCGAGACTGCAACAATCACAGGTTTTGAATTTGGTTGTTTGAGCTCCGAAGTTAAAGCTTTGTTGTTGTGCGTCCATGCAGGTCGAGTTCGTTCCATCACCTAGCCGTTCCCTAGCACTGTGCGCTGCTTGGGTGTTTCTTCCCGTACATGTTTTTCACATTCTGTACAACGAAGCACGGGTGGACCATGGCATTTAGTTTAAGCCACGAGGATGATCTGTTGGCTTTTGAGCAAAAGGCCAGAAGTCAATCAGATCCGTCGATCTCCTGGTGCTGCACATTCTGTGGCAGAGGCAGCTCCAGCATGCCCGACTTTGTCAGTGAGCACCCGATGTCTTGCGAGCACAGGAAGCATTCCGACAATTGCTGTCGACGCTAGGTCCAGAAGACACTTGGATGGCAAAAGTGGAATATCCTGGAGCTTGAGCGCAGCATGTGCATGATCCTGCATGTGCACCTGTTAAAACCCCTGAGTTGGCTGAGGAGTCTTCGCGGCCGGAGTTGTACAAGACTCCGCAACGCCAAAGCCCACACTGTCTTCCTCAAGTTTTCAGGTTCAACAACTTTCATGCCCGAGGTGCTGCCAAGGCTTTCAGGGAGATGACAGCGGGCATTGAGGTTAAGGACGCTTGCTTGCGGATGGAATTCTGGCTCTGAGCTTGCAATCGTCCCCACTCTTGAAGAGCCCTTTATTATCCGTGTGCATGCTGTCAGTAACCTCTCCGGCATGTCGTCTTTCAGGGAAATGAGCAACTCCTCTCAGGAAAATAGTTGCTTAAAGGCCCAGACCCCCTTGTTCCCCCTTCCCCCTTTTTTTCGAAGCTCGCCTCCCCCCTCTCCACCTAAAACACGAGGATAAATAAGCAACTCTTCTTGGGACAGTAGTTGCGTTTTTCGCAGGCTCCTTCGTTGAAAAGGGCCATGTCAGTGACGATCTTGGGCGAGAGACCTGCACCTGGAACTCTTATACTTCAGGGAGTCAGGCCCTCTTGAAGATCTCCAAGGTCGCTCCCTTTCGGAAAGTAGTTGCGCGTTGGGTCCCCCTCGACTAAGCAACTCTTCTCAGGAAAGTGGTTACATCTCTCTCCTTCTCTCCTTCTCTCCTTCTCTCCTTCTCTCCTTCTCTCCTTCTCTCCTTCTCTCCTTCTCTCCTTCTCTCCTTCTCTCCTTCTCTCCTTCTCTCCTTCTCTCCTTCTCTCCTTCTCTCCTTCTCTCCTTCTCTCCTTCTCTCCTTCCCTCCTTCTCTCCTTCTCTCCTTCTCTCCTTCTCTCCTTCTCTCCTTCTCTCCTTCTCTCCTTCTCTCCTTCTCTCCTTCTCTCCTTCTCTCCTTCTCTCCTTCTCTCCTTCTCTCCTTCTCTCCTTCTCTCCTTCACTCCTTCTCTCCTTCTCTCCTTCTCTCCTTCTCTCCTTCTCTCCTTCTCTCCTTCTCTCCTTCTCTCCTTCTCTCCTTCTCTCCTTCTCTCCTTCTCTCCTTCTCTCCTTCTCTCCTTCTCTCCTTCTCTCCTTCTCTCCTTCCTCGTTTTGAGCCAAGACAATGTGAGGTGGAGTGGTTGGGGAACCTTGGAGTATGCCAGTGTATGCAGACCCCCATGCAAGCTCATGTCCGACATGATCCAACATCACGTCGCCATGCTTTTAGATATGTTCTGCAGAGCGTGGCACGGAGGGCAGGGAGAGAGTTGAAGTGCCCAGAAATGGTGAAGGACCCTTTCGAAGCAGTTGGCGATGCAGTTTTCGAGGCCTGGATTTTGTAGCGCGTGAGCTAAGTGAAAGAAACATGATCGTTACTGACGTTGCTGCAGCTGCAACTCGCAGGTGGAGGGTGCTCACGATCTGGTGGCTGTGCGGGACTGGTGTGATTAGAGTGCCCTTCAGTTGCCCACTGATGTACATTGTGACCTCTGAGAAGCTGGAAGGACATTCCCTTTCACTCACTTTGTGAGCATCACCTCCTTCCTTTCTCTGGAACAGCCCACATTGCTTACTTCCCAGACGGAAGGTGCTCCCATACTGGTTACCGTGCTGTGGTGCTTCAAGTTATCAAGTTATCAACATTGCATCTGAGCAGCTGCCCTGGGTCGAGGGTCCTGGGCTTGTCCAAATTCGCCAGACTGCTACAAGCTCTGGACTCAGGATCCAAGGCTGCCCGCACGACGTTGGTCCGAGCCATTGACACGATGAGGCATGTGTATGTGCCCTCGCAGCTCATTTCTGATCGCTTTAGCGTTTGAATTGAAGGTGGCGTGTTGGGAGCATCATCTAGGATTGTTCAAGCCTACTTCTCGAGCAGAAGGCATGTAGACTAGGATCACCATGTTCCGCTTCGCAGCCTTCATCTGTGTGGAAGTGGAGTCATGGGGATGTCTGAAGCCATGTGATGACGGTGCTCGTCCTTCGAAGGGTCCTGATCATTTTTCACATCTTCTGGCAATGCCGCTCTCTGAGTTTTGCCCAAGCCGCTCGGTCACAACTCACAGCAATTGTGGTCAAGGTTTGGGAACCAGTGCTGTCAACAGTTGCACCACGCCAGGTGAAGTTTGGAAAGGAACCTTGCACGCAAACAGCGGACAAATCAGTAAACAAACCGACTTCTACTCAGATTGTCTCAAATGCACCCTTTGGTCAGCTTTTTTGGCCGAGGACGCGGAGGGACTTGTTGGAGGGCAGGTTGGACATCCGGCTGTGATTGTGATCCCTGAACCTTGGAATGCATGCGGCATCTCACTAAGGGGGTTCTCGATATCCAAACTTTGTTCCGAGGAGCTGCTCGGGATCACCGAAGATGTGCGGAAGCAGGTCGGCCGGCCTGTTTTTTCTTCCGACATGCCAGAAGCTTTGGGGCGCCAGGCTACCAGGATCGCAGAGGAAGGAAGCTTTCGCGTTCTTATCCTGGACCTCCATCAGGCAGATAGTGCAGTTGCAACATGAAGCCTGCGTGAACATGCGTGCATGAGGGAATCCTTCCTGGCACAACGCTATCGCAGGGAGACGTTGGCGGCAAAGATGTAGATGCGAATGCCCTTGCGCAGAACATCAGTCTGGAAGCTGTGGTGAATGACATCAGCTGCACAGCTGCATTTCAACTGACAGGTTTTCGCAGCGATGCATTGCGATGCAGTCTGGAAGTCTGGACATAAGGCGAGGCAGCAGCATACCTGAAGTCCGAAAGGTCTCCCAAAGTTGGCATTGCAATTTGGCTGAGAACATTCCAGTTCGTCAAACTGGCGATTAGGTTCTGATTCCTGTATCAATGTGGAGTGTTGCCACAGAGATGTGCGTGCAGTGAGGTGGGATTCTGCATGGGTGGTGCCATAACCTTTGCTGGTCTAGCGACTTCTCCTGACATATGCTGTGGGGTGAGTTTCCTCAGCAACGGCGCGTGACCTGGTTGCAGTAGATCTTGGCAGAATAGACCGACTGTGCAAGACCCGGCTGCGCTGGTATTTCCGCATCTCCGGACTTACGCTTTGAGGTTTCTGGGGGTCAGCCCCGAAACGCTGGATGTTGACGCTCTCGCTGCGAAGCCGGTGCAGGGCCATTTTGGAGCGGTTGACGCTGGTACCGGCCTACCAGCTTCTCAGCATCTACTTGTCCGGTGTCGCTCCGCACGTGTGCCATCCCAGATCCCACGTCACGATCGCAAAGCAAGCTTCATGTTCGCGAGGATTCAATGACTGCCCATTTATTGGAAGAGCGCTTACGAGCTGCAGGGAATTCGGATGCAACGGTCTTTGTCTACGCTGCTTGGCGATGGCTTGAATAGTGCAAAGCTGGACTACATGATGCACACTTCTTAGAAGGCCCCCTGAAGTCCAAAACGGAGCCCCAAGCGTTTGAAACATCCGGAAGTCGCCCAGGGAGGAGCCAGCTTCCACCACACAAGTAAGAGTCTTTCGGGGAGGTATTTGTCGATGTTTTCGAATGTTGACCCAACCCCTGGTTCCAAGGAGGACTTGGGCCACTCATTCATGAGCCTTGGCTGTAGCGGTTAGGGTTCGTGCCCAAAGAGGTGCTTTGTGATTTCTGGCACCAGGAATGAGAGCCCGTTTCCCTTCTCCAGCTTCAGAGAGAGGGAAGCGGAGCTGGGAATACCGGTGTATGATGCAGAGCAAGCATCCCTAGCCTCATGACTGCATTTTTTTCGCTGCACCTATCCCAAGCTGTCGTGTCGCACTTGTCGCACTCGTGGTCCGACATCCTGCGAGGCGTGGAGTCGGGTCTTTGAGTTCCTTGGTCCCTTGCCTCAAAGTAGTCAATTGCCCCGTCCCGCATCTTTCCCGAAGCGGCAGCGATGCGGAAGCCCTGACGAGACGGCGCACAGCCGAGTGCAGATGCGGCTAGTGCTCAGGCTGGCATTTGGCAGGGCGGACGCCACCTACTGATGCTCAGCGCATTTGCTTTCTCAATTTGGCCTGTAGGGTGAGCACATCACATCTTTCCTGGATGTCCCTGGCTGAGTTCAGGACGACCTAGACGACCTAGACGACGATGAGATGGAGGGTCTGGGCCAGGCCGGGTGCAGATCTGGGTAAGTCAGGGTAAGCCAGGGAAGCCATGGTACGCCATCAAAGCAGCGGTCCCCGGAAATGCCTTTGCAGTCTGTCCTCCTCTGCCGAGGAGCCGCAGACACCTGAAGCTTTGTCAAAGGAAGCTGGGCAGCACTGTTCCCGAAGCATGGCTGGTTCCATCATTACTTGCTCTTCTTAGGATGACCTTTGAAGATCCTCCGCACGTCTGAGCACATCGCTTGCTATCTTCATGATGGTGATCATCAACATCCCGGCCTGACAGACATCCCAAGTGCAACGTGAACGTGGTTTGCCGAGTGAGTTTGCCGAGTGACCCAGTTCATGACCGTGCTGTGCCAGCTTTCCTTGAAGAACCCGTTTGGTCGTCTGCATGCTCGTGACACTTACCAGTCTTCTTGGACATGGAAGAATGGCATGCCAGAGACCGGCTAGCATTGCTAAAAAGCGCCCGTCCATTTCATTGGAAACCAAGTCGTGAGCCGTTAGATTGGTTCAGAGCGACCTGCAAAAAGAAGCTCAGGTCTTCGCTCGTCGGCTACAGCTTCAGGCCAGACAGGCTCCAAGCTTCGCAGGAGGCATCTTTGCGGCATGCCAGGAGCGCCTCACCAACCAGTTTGTGGACGCCTTGGAGCAGCTGCTCTCGCCCAGGGCGGTGGTAGTCAGCTTGGAGGCCATGCGATGTGTGGTCAGCTTCGTGGCCAGGGCCTGTAGCGGCCTCGGAGTTTTCGGACCCCAGAAGAACGGTGGGCCTGGACCCAGGAAGCCTTGAAGGGTGGGGACCGGCGACAAAGAGGGGATCGGGAGTCCATCTCTTACTAGGTTAAAAAAGATGGGGTTAGGTCATAAAACCAATCTTTCGACCAGGAAAACAAAGAAAAGGCAGCGTTTTCTGGATCCAAACAAGTTATACATTGTCTTGGTTGTTCTTTATTTTAGATGAGAAATACCAACTTTTCCAGAGTAACACCTTGGTTTTGGTGACAATCCAACTTTTATTGACTTTCCCTAGCAAGAAGTTGGTTTCGGCGAAACATCACGTTTCCGGAGTAAAAAGTGCTTCCACAGCGCTTCGCAAAGGGGCAGCAGAATATGGAACTAGTGTCCCAAAGCCTCCCCCCTCCCGGGCCCAGAAGAAAATTACCATTCGCTGTGGAAGTGCCAGAAGTGCTGCTAGTACCGACGATTCTGCTCCAAGCCCCCACCCCAAAAAGCAAACCATGCAACAACAACGTTTTCCGTCGCAGACAAAGAGCGACACGTCGACGAACTTTGCTGAAAAACTAACAGATGTGGCCAAGCCAAAGAGCAAATGCCGATGATAAGAATGACGTACTCCGCCCTCACCCCCCCCCCACCCATCGAAAAAGTGCTAGAACTCGACAACTCCCCCCAGCAGCGAAAAGCATCCCTGCCAAAAACTACCAGGGAAAACAAAAAAACACTACAGTGTCGAGACCGAAATCTGCCTTCTCAATCATTTTTTGCCTTGGTGTCTGTGTCCTGTGGTGGCAAAGCAGCAGCGTAGACGTCCAGAACAGACGGTCTGAAGCAGAATATGAGAATCTCATGTTTTCTGTCGACAGGTATCGGAATGGGAAGTTCTGGAAAGTAGAGGAAATACCGTAGAAATCAGTCCAAACGATGTACGGATCATGGGTGGGTGAGTGGGTGTGTGTGTGTGTGTGTGTGACCATTTCTTCAAATGTTTCTGTATGCGTTCGATACAATCATTGGTTTCTTTAAGCTATATATCTATCTATATACATGCATATAAATGAAGATATGGATATAGATATACAGAAATAGACATAGATATAGGATCGAGATCAACTGTGGAGACATTACCGATGGCCTCAATCTGCGTGCAGCATGCAATCTTGTGTGTACCATGGGTTGGAGAAGGCGTTCCCTGAATTTGGAATGTTTGGCAGCTTTTGTGCGGATTTACTTCACCCTCTTTCAGAGACTGTAGAAATTGTCCAGTGGCTTGAGGAAGTTGAATGGCAAGACAAGTACAACCATATTGATCAAACGCGAACGTTTTTCTTTCTTGGTGAAACATGGTCGGAAGGCGACACATGCGTGCATGAGCCATCGTGGCGCGTCCGCTACCAAGCGGGGTTGCACGAGAACAACGTCGCCGGGGCAGCATGAGTTTACTGTGAGGTCGGTGCCGTCTTCCACGCGGACTCTTGCAATGCGAGGTCCAAAGAAGGCAGGCTTAGTGGGCGGAGTTGTCAGAAAAGAACGACGAGACCAATGCAATGCCTTTTGCAGGATGACCTCTTCCTGAGAGAGCAACTACTCCTCGGTGTCAGCTTTGGACCTAGTTTGAAGGTCGATAATCCTGCTTGAAGAGTAGATGAGAGTAGGTCCTCATGCTGTGCCGCAGCGTGGACAGGTTTAGGGCCGAAGGTTTAGGGTTTAGGGTTTAGGGTTTAGGGTTTAGGGTTTAGGAAGTTAGTGAAATCGGTGTACCATCCTGAAAGCTTCTGAGAGTCTCCCAAGGTCGGGGTGGAGCCTCAGCCACTGCAAGGTTATGAGCTGGAGCCCCATTTGCTGTGTAGCTGGCATGTGATCAGCTTGAGGTCAGGCGGTCTGCCATTTCTGACGTTTTGGTTCTAAAGTTCTGACCCCTAGCAGATTCCTGCCGGAGGTTGATGTCTAACTCTGAGCTTAGTCGGCACAAACGTGTAGCGCTCGAATACGCTGCTTCTGCACAGAGGTGCACTGGTGTGAAACACACTGTTGTGCGTAGTTTTCCTTGCATGTGCACTTTATGCTATCAAGGAAAAGTTAGTTGGTGAAGTCGACTGTCAAGAAGGCATCTGATGCTCATGTGCTTCTCACTGTGTATGAAAGACAGAGGCATGATCTAGCGACAGTTGGCGATCCCTCTAATTTTTGCTTTCCATGAGCCTGATCAAGGGGCTCATATGGAGTATCTTAGAGTCTTAGCGTCTCGCGCATGGCTTTTCGCTTCGTTCACTAGCCACAAAATAAATAGCTAGTGTAGTCCCAAATGGAGGAGGGTATCCTCGAAAAGTTATGCGTGTAGTTCGCAAACTTGGAGGGGTGTGCGCTCCTCAGACGTGCGACGTCACATGACGCCCACCGACCTTGACCTCAGGCGATCTGAGAGACTTGCGGAGTGGTTGGAATTGCTGGCTCTTGGGCCGGGGAGGGCACGGCCACTATGAAGTTTCAGGAATGTCCGGATTCCAGATGTGAATCTGGTGCCTTGGCAAGCGAGCCAAATCAAGCATAGATAGCGACACTCATGACAGCAAACACGTCGTGCACCTTTCTCAGCAAATCATTTCCTTTGCACTCAGACACAATGAGCACTTCTTGCTAGTGTTGTTAGGATTGCAGGCCAAAGTTTCGACTACAAGTCCGAGCTAGGCAAGCACTGTCGCCGCACAGGTGCCTCACCGCATACATTCCGTAAAAATGCACCAATGCACTAAACTTGATAGCTGCACTGCCGTGCACTTGCTGTCCATGCGGCGGCTTCACGGCGCAGTGCTGCCACTGAGCCGCACGTGTCAATTTGTCAGTGTGCATCACTGGAGACATCTAGAGACTTAAACTAAAGTTCCGAGCCCCATGGAGGTCTGTGCGACAAAGCGCTCTAGATTCGATGGAAGCCTGTTCCTTCGTGCATCGAGTCCTCTCGCATGCACGTCACACTCTTGGCACGCGACGAGCTACCTCGGAGAGTGCACAGGGAGGCCAGAGGCGGAGGTGCAGGTTGCGGGCCAGCGATGGAAGAATCCAATTCCCGATCCTGCTGTGTGCCTCCTTTGTTGAGGGAAGCGGGCAGGAAGCTTCACTACCAGGGTGAAATTAACTCCTGGAAACCTCCTTAGGATGTAGACCGAGCTACACCGTTCGGTGTGTGCGTCAACTTATTTCTCTGCTGCTTCTGCCCCTTCTGAACATGGGCTACATTGGTCCCTGTTTAAGTTGAGTTGATTGCAAAGTTCATGTTGATGCATCTGTGTCCTTCAACCTCGCCTAGGAGCTGGCCATGGATGGCTACGGTCCGCACGGTGGTTGTGTTTGCAGCAGTCCACCTGGCGACAGGGGAGCAGGCAGCCGTCGATGGGCCGGTCATTGGAATCATTGCTGCAAAATGTGCGTTGAGATGCGGTGGTTGGTCACAGCACTAGACTGCCAAGTTGCGTCTCACTGGCGTTTAGTGCCTAAAGCCAGCTTGGAGGCGTAGATACAAACTTTGCCGATTACCAGTTCCAGTGCTTCTCACAAAAGTGTTCGACAACAGGGGTCCCCGACGCAGCGAATAACTCGGCTTGGCATTGCAAGGAATTGACCTTGGCACCACATGTTCCTGTGCCGCAGTTTACAAGTGCCTTGCATGCAATGGCATGGCTCCTGCACGGAGCAGAAGTTGCAGGTGACCAGATTGTCCTGTAGCAGTGGTTCCAAGTGCACAGATACTCAGGGGTGGCGCAGTGGAGATAATTCCAAGCAGTGAAGGCCACGGGTGGCTGCCAAGATGTTTGGCAAGATGTTGCGACTTAGAGAGATCCCCTGCGACATCAAGTCAGCTGCAGGCAGTCGAATTATGCCGTCTGCTGTAGCTTTCCCAGAAGGCAAGGAGGCAGGAGCCAAGATGTCCGGCGCATGCCATGATTTGAAGAAGAGTTTCGACATCGCGCAACTAATCTGGTCATAGCCCCACACTGCTAGGTTTCTTGGTGTATCATTCGGAGAAGACCCTGACAAGTCGCTTTTTTAGCATGCAGTCGTCAGATCCCATGGCTGTGAGCAAGGCCTAGTCGGGCCTTCGACCCTCTTGCCGGCCTCATGGCCTTGTCGAGTGCAGGTGCCTTTGATCGGTGAGGCTGCGAAGGATCACGGCGTGCTGTTCCCTGCGCAGACAATGTGCCTCAGACCTGTTTCAGAGCCGTTGCCATGAAATACTGCTGGTTGAGCAAATGTTTTGAGCTGTTAACGTTTGGTTTTCGCAGCTGCGCAGATTACTTGTGATGCTTGCTGAACCAATAGGTCTGCAAGTTCTCCTGTTGTCTGAGGTCCAACGTGAAACGTCTCATGGGCCGCGACTACAAGGATCTCCGATCAGGGGTAGTGTTTGCAGTTTGCGTGGCCCTGTTGATGTCTTGAGCCCTCCAGGATGCGGGTGTGCAGAGGGACAGCAAGATGATGTTGTTCAAGGTGGCAGCGCCCTGACGCTCCGTTTTTTCAATCGGGTCTTTGTTCACGTCTGTTTTCTAGAGCACAGGTGGTCGCTGACTCTGATGGCAGCGCTGCCGTCAGCGTGACTGTCAATGGCAAGGACAGTTCAGTCTCGTGCTCTCTTCAACTAAGCACATCGCAACCTGCTTGCCAATGCACTCGCATGATACGTCAATGGTCAATGGCCCATTCGAGGAGAAAGTTCTGAAGCCAGAGGAGTCGCTCTCCTGCAAAGCTCCTGTAAACTGGACTCAGCTGGACATCAGGGCTGTTCGCGTTCCCCCCCCCTTCCCCCGCCCCCGCTTGGGCCACCCACCCCTGTCCCCTTTCCGGCCCCCTGGCTCCGCCCCCCCCCCCCCCCTGGAGTGATCACGTACATTTTTGTCGCCACGCGTGTGTTCATCGAGGTCAGCTGAGTTGGTGAACTAAGTGCGGAGAGATCACTGAGCCTAGGATCGCCGCACTGCTTCTCAGAGAATTGAGCCTGGCCTGAAAGAAGACCTCGAACTACAAATCTGTGCTTGTGCAGTTTACTGACACCAAGGAAGGAGCGTGCCGAGAAATACTTGGGCAGAGCAGTGAAGCATGCGGTCCCTACCTCAGCGAAGGTAGGTCACAAACCAGCTTGGCATCACATTTTCCAAAGACCAGCCAGCACTCACATCACAACAGAGCCAACACAGCAGGGCTTACGTCACGATCGAGCCTCGAAGCATCATGATCATGCGGGAGCCAAGTCATTCTAGTTGCATTCCAAGTGTTTGCAGGTGTGAGATGTGTGAATGTGTGTTGCTTGTCAACTACGGTTGGTGTTGCGAACCCTGACGTCATGGGTGTTTACATTTTAATTTTAACGCTACGCGACCCGCCTCGGCCCGGCCCAGCGCATCCGCGTGAGCATGGTGCTTCCGCAGCGCCCAAGTCGCTGGACCCAAGCAATAAGGGTTGGGTTTAGGGTTTAGGGTTCCGGGTTTATGGTTTATGGTTTGGGGTTTAGGGTTGAGGGTTAATTAGGATTGAGGGCTTAGGGCTCAAGGTTCATGCTTTGGGGTTTAGGGTTTTTTTGGGTTTAGGGTTCAAGAGACGGTTCGGCTTGGATTGATCGTAGGGTTGAGCCAGGCCCCTGCTAAGCTTAGACTCTTCGGCTCGTCCCCGGCCGTGCTCTCACCCTTCGGGCGTTCGAGGCCTTTGGAGGCATTTCGAGGCCTCCCGAGGCCTCACTCATGGGTTTTCGAGGCCTTTCGATCGACAATCCCAAAACCCCTTTAGCTTGCAAGATTTCGAGGCCTTGGGGACCCGGGCTTATAATACTATTAAAGGGTTCCCCGCAAGGCCTCGAGCCCGGAGGAACCCGGGCTGCCTCTCTTCTTTCATGTGAAATAAGCCGCAGCTGGCTCCAAGTCCTCTTAAGTCTCTATTCAAAAACGTTACAACCTCGAAGGCGCCACACCTGAGCCTCGAAAACGCGGGGGGGCGAAGGGGGGGGGGGGTTGGGGGGCGGGTGGTGGGGTTTGGGGTTTTGGGGGCGCGGGGTGGGGGGGGGGTAGGGGGTGGGGGGGGGCCCTCCTCTCCTCGGGGGGGTACCCATTTGAAGCAAAAAAAGGGGGCCGAAAAGTGGCTTTGGGCTTGGGGGGAGGATTTGGAGGGGGGTGCCTGTTCTGACAACCTATACACCTTCGGCCCGAGGCCTCGGCGGATTGTTGTTTCTGGGGCGTCCGTGCGGTGCTTCTGCATGATGCAAAAGAGCAGCTGCCAAGAGCATCGGGCGTTCTTCGCGTGTGTACCAGTAGTTGCTGCATCTTGAAGGTCTGAAACTATATGCGATAAGAGCCAAACGCATCCCAAGAGTCCTGGAAGAATCTTGGATCCCAGCATGTTGTAACTCAATGTTTACAGAAAGATTTCGAAACTTGGTCCGGGAGTGGATCTTGGATCAGTGGAATTCGGTTCTCAGACGGTGGGGTACATGCGTGTTGCGTTTCTTTTCACAGTGTTGTTTTTCTTTGGGGACCCATGCGTGGCGGGGTGTGGTTCCTACACCTGGACTTCCCTGGCATTCACGTTTTCGGGTCAGCTTTGCGATTCAATTTTGAAGTGGAGAGGGCTCTTGGAGTCTTTGCATGGCCGGGTCACTAGCAGTGTGAGAAAGCTTCTCAACAAGACAGGCAATCAAGAGCATAATTTGTTGGAACTTGCTTGCTATCTATGTATAAACCCCCTTTGCTTCGGCCTTGGTCGCGGGGAATTTCTCACCCAACCCTCCAGCTTTCACATGTTAGCTCACAGGTTTGACCTTAACCTTGAACGGGAACACTTTCCGATTCAACTGCACCACGGAGTGCCCTAAACATCCCTAAATCATGAACGTAAACCAAACCCAAGCCTTGTACCCTCCGACAATCTAGACCCGAAGCATCTACTCTTCTGGCTCAAACCTCCACAGAAGTCTCTCAATGCTCGTTCCTTTCGCGATCTTTTGTAGTTCATTGTCAACATCTTGAGTCTTGAGTTGTCTTTATTTGTAATTGTCAAACTTTGCCAAAAACCTCGAGTGAACAACAGCAGTTTACAAGGGCTTTGTGTAAAAGTTGCGATTGTGTAATCACCAATCCAATTTTTTCTCGTTCACTCACGGGTCGCTATCTTGTTCATTTCCTTGCCAGTCAAGTTCGATCGCTTCCTTGACACACCCTTGGGCCGTAGTGTTCGTGCGGGTCAAAGCAGAGACGGGTCGCAAAACTTGGAGCACTGCCCACAAGACCGACGAGACGGAAGAAACGAGCTAGACCGAAAAGCTCAAACCGATTGAGCTTGGATCTCTCCTGATTTTCGCTTGTTTGCGGTTCCAAGAGGCCACCAAACAAGGGCATCATGATGATGATGATGATGACATGTACAAGTTTGTTGATGGCTGTGTGCTAAGATGTGCTAAGCATCATTTGCATTCATGAGGTCGTCAGCGTTCCAGCATTCTTCAACGACAGACAGCGCTACACGGTCGCAAGTATTGTGCGAGGAATGACAAGCAGCTGCGTGACAGTTATCGGCCTGTGGCATCCAAGGTTTTTTAAAACTCTTGAGCCACGGTTGTTATGAGAGTAGTGGCAAGGCTTCTCACAGCCCAACATGACTGCTTAATCTTTAGAACGCAATCACCCTGCAAGGAAAAGCTGTGAAGAGTGCAGCTAGTCTTGCGGGACTTGAGAGACTCGCCCGCAAGTCAGCAGCTGAAGAGGATTGTGCGTGAAGAGAACTGTGCACTTTCCTTTGCTGCATGTCTTCAGGATCTTGCAAATCATCAACGAGCTGGTGCCTCAAGTACGGCAGAATCACACAGCCCTAGCGGGCATGCCAAGTCTGGCACAAGATAGAGAAACTTGTGCAGAGGCCGACGGCTGCTGCCGTGGCCTATGGTTTTGATGCTCGGTCATGCAATGGCTGCCAGCTTTCTGCTTATGGGTCTATTATTTGCGCACGTTGAGTCGGGCTGGAGCTGTTTCGGAATTGTTGTGCCTTTGCACTTGAAGACCACCGAGTTCTGAGTTGTAAGAAGAACTCGGAAGGACCAACACTACACCTAAAGAACAGCTTTGAACCTCCCGCCCTTGGTTCACGGATGCTGATGCTAGAAACAACGTGCGTGCCGAAGGATGGCCATGTCAGATCCCATTCAAATCCTCAGCCCTGAAGCATCGGTTGCGTGCGGATTCGTTCGGCATAGGTATCAAACAAGTTGATAGGCATCAATAAACATTGAGCGCATCAAAAACAAAATTGATGGGCATCAAAAGCAAGTTTGCCCGGAGAGCTTGGTTCCTCCCTTCCCCTGGTCTTCCGAGTCTGCTGGTCTGTTGGGTTCTTCCGAAGCCCTGGTCCCTGCTGCTCCTGCTCTGGTCTTCTGGTCTGCTGGGTTCTTCTTGTCCCGTGGTCCTCTGGTCCCTTGGTTCTCTGGGCTTTGCTATCCGACTTTGAATTTGTCAAAATTATGTATTCTGATAGAGGCCTTTTCCAAACCGATCGTGCTCACATGTGCTCATTGTGTTTGCAAATTAGGCGGGGGTGTGCTGCGCCCGCCCAAACCACCCGCTCCTTGAAGCCACCCCGATGCCCCAGTCTTTGTAAGCCGTGCAAGTACTGGACTGCTTAGTCAGTTCTTCTTGATGAAGTTTTCTTGATACGGGGTAGGGCAGATTTTCTTGATGTTTACATGATTTTTGTTTCCCCTCTCCGTTCGATTTTATTTGGCCCACCCCAACTCCCGATTTGCTGATTTGGCCACGTTGACGCTGTTGAAGGTCGTACCGATTGAGAAACAAAGGCATGGTCCTAGGAGTCTCCAAGCTTGTGTTCCTGAGAACATCAAGTGCTACGGGGGTTTGGGGGAATGCCTCGGCCCACCATCTTCATCTTCGGAGTCCCCATCTTGAGCAACATTCTGTGATGACTTGCTTTCAGTAGGTCTAAGCCACTATCTGCGATCCGGAGTCCAGAAATTTTGATTTGCCCCGGTGAGCTCAGGGGGTTGAGGTGCAACAGGCTCGGGATCCACTGTGAGAGGCTACACACGTTACTCCACAGTGTCTCATCGCGTCTCCGCAGCCTTCGGAAACATCTCTTGCCGCCTTTTTGCAAACCTATTGCGGGCAACGTTTTGAAGTCTAACGTTTCGCTTGCACTGGTCTGAAGCCAAGCACAGCTGCGCCGCACCTGTCTGAGGACAAAAAGGAGGAGGACCACCGACTTGGCAAAGATTCTTTTCCAAATAGTCAAATAGTCCTTTCCAAATAGTCGCGATCAGGAGGTCATCTTGGTTTACGATCTTGGTGGCGGTACCTGCAACTCGGCTGCGGTCAGGTTCTAACATGTTCGAAAGGAGGACGCATGCTGCCGCTGCTTTTGCCACCCTGGAATTCGAAGGTGATGTGTCGGTGCTGAAAGGTGGCCCCAGCGTTCTTCAGGTGGGCAGGGGAATGTGGGGGAATTTGGGAACATGTGGGAAACATGTGGGAAACATGCTGTCGATTGTGCAACTATCTGCATCCCATATGGAGGTCTTGGCAACCAGTGGGGACCCACGCCTCGGTGGGGAGGACTTCGACCGCCGGGTGATGAAACACCTGAGACTCCCTTGCAAGAGCAGCAGTCATGCTGTGTTCTGCTCACCGAACAAGGGGCAGGCGCACATGGGCATGAATCTTGCATCCTCTGCCGTGAGGAAGGCTGAGCCCTGCCTTTTGGTCATTGGAGTCTTGATGCCCTGGATAAACCAAGGATAGATAGCTTCAAGAAGAAGAGCAGCAAGGAGTTTCGGTGTTTGCGGCCTGCAAGCTTCGAATGTTCCCGGTCAGATTGATTGCAAGGACATCTCATCCGACGCCCAACTGCTGGAAGTCCTGCATGTTGAAGTGGAGAAGGTTGGAGTTTCATGTTATATTCTCTCATGCAATCGGTATTTCAATGTGGGTAGCCTGATGCTTTGCACGGAGCTATTGTCGTTCATGTTTGCTGCGCAAAGGCTAAGCGAAAGCTGAGCACAGTGCCACAGGTGCACCGCTTTCGGCTTCACGACTAAACGCTCTTGTAGCCATCACTGTAGCCATCAGTATGGTCAGTCAAACAAGAGGCATCCGTCACGGTGAACGTTGGTGGCACTCCGCTGACGGAAACTCTGAGCCTCTTCCGGAAGCATCACTCAGTACACTTAGCGTCGCTATCAACTTGTGCTGCGGTTTGGCTATTGTTTGTTTCACGCCACTTCGGAGGTTCTGAGAGGTTCTCTCGTGTGCCTAGGACACGAGCACAGTTCGAGAAGCTCAACGACGAGCTTTTCAGAAGGACTGAGATCTGGCTGGTAGGAGATTGGTGAGATTTGTGCACAGTTTTTTGCACACATTTTTTTGCACAGGACCTTGGAGCCTGTGCAGTCAGCTCTGAAAGATGCGGGGCTGCACAAGTCTGAGGTGACCACTGCCGGGCAACCTGGGCTTTGCACGTGTTGTTGGGCTCAGAAGGGTTTTTCAAGTGAGGTCATCCTGGCCGGCGGTTCTTCGCGCATCCCGAAAGTGCAGCAGATGCTGAGCCAGCACCTCCTCAGCAAGTTGCCTTGGATGTCTTGTCTCAAGAGGTTGTTCAAATGTTCCGGCAGTTGTGATGTTCTTTTGGCTATGCATGAGCCACTTCAGGTTCTTCGATGGTAAAGAGCTCCCAGACCGATTTCGAAGCTGCCACAGTGAGTTTGAAATCGCATAAACGCTTCCTTGATGTCAGCCTTGAAATGTGACTTTCTTCAGGCTGACGCGAAGAATAAATCCAGATGAAGTTGTGGCTCACGGGGCCGCAATACAGGTCGCACGCCGACGGTGTTTAGCCAGTTGCTGCGGCACGAGTGATTTTGGACAAATGGCAAGTGGTGGCAGTATCTTTTTCTGCAGGCTGCCTCCATGAGTTCTGAGGAGAACTTGGAGGAGAGGGACCATAGTGTGGGACCATGGCGCGACCAATGGGCGCATTGGTTAATTTGTGCGATTTGTTGTGATGTCCCCCGCAAGCCCTGCACAAGTCACAGTACGGTGGCCTCATCGATGTCATTCCGCTCTCGCTCGGCATTCAGACCGCGCGGTCCTCACAGCCTTGTGTACCTTGTTTTTGCCATTTTGAAGTATGCAAAGGCTTTCATCTTCAGGCTGGCGGCTTCATGACCACAGTCCTCCAGCGCAACATGCAGTTGCCAGCAGAGCACTCGAAGCTTGGTTTCAAATTGCAGCCTAGAGGAGCGTACATATCGCAATGATTGCTGACTGCCAGCGTGTAGTCACGCTGAGGATGCTGTTTTCTACCCACAAGGACAACCAGGAGATCTCAGTGGCAGAGCTTCGCAAACCCAAAGCAATCCTGCCACCATCATTAAACTTGCAGTACAGGAAGTGGCGACTGTCAAAGTCTTTCAGGGCGAAAGGCTAATGGCGAGCTGCTCAGAAACCTTGGTCCATGTGTAAGCGCTGGGCGCGTGAGATTTGGAGGCCCGCAACAATCACTTCCTGGGCAGCTTCCAAATCAAAGGCTTACCCAGCTACCTTGTTCGCATGTGTTCGCTGGAAAAGTTGCTCTCTCAAAGTGTCCTCGGAGATGTCCTTGTGAGGCATCCCTGCAGCTCCGAGAGGAGTACCGCAGATCCAGGTGCTTTTCAAGGATCGCAGTTGCTTTTGCCATGCTTTTGCCAACCCCCGAGCGCTTCACTTTCTTTCTGCCATAACTGGGCCATAACTGGTTCAGGTAGATGAAAGTGGCCTGCTCACTGTGGAAGCATCCGACAGAGATTCTGGCAAGCGTAGTGCGGATCTCGGCAAGCACACGGCAGAGTGAAGTGAACTGCAGTGTTGATGGTCTTAACCTTAACCCAGTGCGGCTCGACGCAGCCAGGCAAATACTTAGTGGCACTCGACTCTTTGTCTCGTTCAGCGTTGCCATGCTCACAGAGACCAACAGGGGCAATAGGATGCAGAGGCAGCTCGCCGAGAGCTCATGAGCCAATTGCCTACATACACCGTCATTCTCGGAACATTCGGAAACGTCACGCAGGGTCACTAAGAAGCGACTTGGGATAGCGACTGCGATGGGTGTGATCAGCATCAGGGGCCAATCTGGAATCCGTTTGACGCATGCTGCTACTGTATGTCTCGGTAGAAATGCCCCTTGCACCAGAAGGTTCCACTTAGGCCAAGAGGCCCTGGCAACAAAGCCATATGGCCATAGGTTCCCACTTCGTGCTGTTTTGCTTCTGTTATGTCACCAACAGCAGTGCCCAAATTGCCCAAGAGTTTTTTCCATTCTGTATCCTGTACCGAAAATGCCCGAAAGTAACTGATGCCAAGTGCAGTGCAGTTCCAAGTCCAAAAAGGGAGAAAGTCACAAAGCACTGACAGCGCAGTTTGTCCACTGAATGGCTTGTGCCGGTGGAGGCGAGCTTGCCATCGATCAGGATCGCTTTCCAAGTGGAGATCAGGTTCAGGAGATGCTCAATGAGGCGACTGAGCTGTGGGATGCTGTGTGAGAGTATGCTGCTGCCAATGTTTGGCTTTGTGGCACCAAGTAGTGCTGTGGAAGTCCACAAGGCGGAGGCCTTTGTCAAGGATGACCAGAGAGAGTTTGCACGTGCAGAGGTGCCAAGCTCATTTGGGATTTTGCAAAAGCTTGGACGGTTCGTATGATGTCTGCAACAGGCGCGCATGGCATTGAAATCCCTCGTTCGCTCACTCCACTCAGCTGCGGAGTCTGCGCCGGAAGAGGCCCGGCAATTGCAGAAAAGTCATTCACACTGCATAAGGCAGCATTTCATATGGCCTGCGTATGGCCCTGCAGCTGCACATATCACTGCAGAGAGATCGACAGAGGTTGTGCTGGTTGACGTCCCTGGTTGTCCCTTTGTTGTTGAGGGTTTTTGCGCGGCACAGTGACATGTGATGTGTGGTGCTGCGACCAGGGACACACTGATCCAGCTGCTTCAGAATCTTGAGCCCTCCAGACATCACGCCTTCTCTCTCGCTCTCCTTGGTTGTTTTTTCTTTTTGTTTCTCCCTTTCTCCCTTTCTCCCTTTCTCCCTTTCTCCCTTTCTCCCTTTCTCCCTTTCTCCCTTTCTCCCTTTCTCCCTTTCTCCCTTTCTCCCTTTCTCCCTTTCTCCCTTTCTCCCGTTCTCCCGTTCTCCCGTTCTCCCGTTCTCCCGTTCTCCCTTTCTCCCTTTCTCCCTTTCTCCCTTTCTCCCTTTCTCCCTTTCTCCCTTTCTCCCTTTCTCCCTTTCTCCCTTTCTCCCTTTCTCCCTTTCTCCCTTTCTCTCCCTTTCTCCCTTTCTCCCTTTCTCCCTTTCTCCCTTTCTCCCTTTCTCCCTTTCTCCCTTTCTCCCTTTCTCCCTTTCTCCCTTTCTCCCTTTCTCCCTTTCTCCCTTTCTCCCTTTCTCCCTTTCTCCCTTTCTCCCTTTCTCCCTTTCTCCCTTTCTCCCTTTCTCCCTTTCTCCCTTTCTCCCTTTCTCCCTTTCTCCCTTTCTCCCTTTCTCCCTTTCTCCCTTTCTCCCTTTCTCCCTTTCTCCCTTTCTCCCTTTCTCCCTTTCTCCCTTTCTCCCTTTCTCCCTTTCTCCCTTTCTCCCTTTCTCCCTTTCTCCCTTTCTCCCTTTCTCCCTTTCTCCCTTTCTCCCTTTCTCCCTTTCCCCCTTTCTCCCTTTCTCCCTTTCTCCCTTTCTCCCTTTCTCCCTTTCTCCCTTTCTCCCTTTCTCCCTTTCTCCCTTTCTCCCTTTCTCCCTTTCTCCCTTTCTCCCTTTCTCCCTTTCTCCCTTTCTCCCTTTCTCCCTTTCTCCCTTTCTCCCTCTCTCCCTTTCTCCCTTTCTCCCTTTCTCCCTTTCTCCCTTTCTCCCTTTCTCCCTTTCTCCCTTTCTCCCTTTCTCCCTTTCTCCCTTTCTCCCTTTCTCCCTCTCTCCCTTTCTCCCTTTCTCCCTTTCTCCCTTTCTCCCTTTCTCCCTTTCTCCCTTTCTCCCTTTCTCCCTTTCTCCCTTTCTCCCTTTCTCCCTTTCTCCCTTTCTCCCTTTCTCCCGTTCTCCCTTTCTCCCTTTCTCCCTTGCTCCCTTTCTCCCTTTCTCCCTTTCTCCCTTTCTCCCTTTCTCCCTTTCTCCCTTTCTCCCTTTCTCCCTTTCTCCCTTTCTCCCTTTCTCCCTTTCTCCCTTTCTCCCCTCCCTTTCTCCCTTTCTCCCTTTCTCCCTTTCTCCCTTTCTCCCTTTCTCCCTTTCTCCCTTTCTCCCTTTCTCCCTTTCTCCCTTTCTCCCTTTCTCCCTTTCTCCCTTTCTCCCTTTCTCCCTTTCTCCCTTTCTCCCTTTCTCCCTTTCTCCCGTTCTCCCGTTCTCCCTTTCTCCCTTTCTCCCTTTCTCCCTTTCTCCCTTTCTCCCTTTCTCCCTTTCTCCCTTTCTCCCTTTCTCCCTTTCTCCCTTTCTCCCTTTCTCCCGTTCTCCCTTTCTCCCTTTCTCCCTTTCTCCCTTTCTCCCTTTCTCCCTTTCTCCCTTTCTCCCTTTCTCCCTTTCTCCCTTTCTCCCTTTCTCCCTTTCTCCCTTTCTCTCTTCTCTCTTTCTCTCAATCCGTCTTTCTCGCTGTCTCTCTTTCTCTCTTTATTCTCTTTCTCTCTTTCTCGCTCTCTTCATCTCTTTCTCTCTCTCTCTCTTTCTTTCGCCCACCTTCCTCCTAAGCAGTACAGGGCCCTTTTTTGCAAGAGCTTTACTGCGAACTATGTGCACAACTGTATCCTTCCTTTGCCATTCAAGAGAAACGGCAGGTTATGGAACTTCGCGAATTGAATCCAAGACAATAGCCCCCTCTCTTCCCCCCCCCCCCAAATACCACGCCCAAAAACAAATACCAAACAAATCTTTACCCATTCGATAGGGACCCGGTCCACGGTTCACAGGTCATTTACATTGGACGTTTCGTTCCGCTCGAAAGAAACTTTTTTTTTTTACACAGACCGTTGAGTTAGGTTCCTTGAATGTGCAGTCGAAACTCGTCGTGAATGTTGGCAAGCAAAGCTTGCTATGCACAAAGTCATGCCTTGCGAGCTGCCCCAGGATGCTGGAATATTCCTGGAAGCTGCTGCCGAGGGCCAGGTGGATTTCGGCTGTGCAACATGTCGGGCAGTGAAGAGTTTGTCGACTTGCTTCAGGATTGGCTTGCAGCAAACCCGGATGCCGAAGCCGAAGAGATCCACGAGAAGCGGGAGGAGAAGCAAAGCAGTAAGCAGCAGTAAGCCAAAAAACAGTAAGCAAAAAATAGATCGAACAAAGACCCAAGAACATCAAAGCATCCCATGTCAGGAGCTGGAAGCAAACGTGCCCGAGTTGCCCACCAAGCCAGTCCCAACTGGCAGTGGCGAGAGCGGCGGCGAACTCGACATGGACACTCCTCAGAAAGCTAGGTTTCCTGAGAGAGCTGGTTCAGTGAGGTTAGTGTTGTGGTAAAGCCCGTCACCTGCTGCTCATAGGGTTTGCTTCACTGCGATTTCGTGTTGTCTAAGGAAGGCCATGATGAGCTGTGAGACCAACGGGTGATCCGGTTAACAGCAAGTTAATGATCTGCTGGTTGCGTGGCCTCATATTGGCAGTCTGGGTTCGGCAGCTCTTACGGTTGAGCTCTTGTTTCGGGCCATGTGAACCATCATCGGCTGTCTGGCACAAAGCCTGTCAAAGACCTGATGCCTGTGGCTCCCGTAGGGCCGATACGGAAGAACATTGCGAACTACCGCCTCCGGACATGGCTTCCACCGTGTAGATGCGCAGCACGCTCTGGATGATGTGCCTGTTATGTCTATGTTCAAGCTTGAGGAGGCATTAAGAAGGACAGTACTGATTTCATGAGTAGATGCAGCAGATGGTGATGCAAGCTGATGCTTACTTCTAGCATCAGAGAGCCCGACGAGAATCTGGGAGACGTCGCCTGACTGCTTCGAAGCCATGTGTGCTGGATCTTCAACCGGTCAAGAGGCAACTTGTATGACACCGCGGCAGCGTTTGCAAACTGATCTTGTGCTGTATTCATGGGCAGGAGAAGCCCGGGGCACAAACCTTGGCATGCTCGAATGCCGGGCACACTGCGCACAGCAAGAGCCGTGACAAACACACCCACAAGTTTGCCGGATGCGTCCTGTAAGATCTGTTCAACGGCGGGCTGAGCATGGCTTCGTGCAGCTTTTCGCAGCTCTCCATGCTGAAGTGCCTTGAAGTGCTTTGAGTTCTTGGAAGGCTTCGACCCTTCTTTCTTTGCTTCGCTCCTTTGAGGTGTGAGCTGTTGCTTGCTTCAGATTTCTTCTCAGTGAGCAAATTCCGCACATGCCGCACTTTGTTCCAACATCTGCCTTTTCATTGATCGGAAGGCCCAATTCCATTTTCGGAGAGCTCTCGCAACGATCGGCGGGGTCCTCTTGTTGGCAGGCACCGATGTACTGATCAGTCACTCACGGCCGTTTTATATGGGAAGCCAGTGAAACAGAATCTTTTATACTAAAGTAGGCTGCGTGAAGGTGTCAGCATGTGACGCGATGAGCGATAAATGACCGGTGAACATAATTTCCTGACCAAGTGACATGCAAAGTTTTCAACAAGTGCTTAAGACCACCACATCGGTGAAATGGGTCAAGTTTGACATTGCTATTGGCAGAATCGCATTGTCTTTGAGCTTTTCGCACTTCCGAGATGCCCTGCTTCAGAGCATGACAGGAAGCTTTTGGGCAACAGTGAGTTTCTTGACAGTCCGACGCCTAGATTTCCTTTTCTGTGCACAGCATGACGTGCCCACATGATGGAGACCAGTGTTCTCTTGACGCAGCATGATCCAAGTCGCACAGCTACCTGATCCTTGTCTTGGCTGGTGTTGTGGGGCGTGGCATGTTTTGAACACGGCCACAGCTACCATCGAAACACGCCCCTAATAAACCTTCTTCTCATCTGGCAGGTGTGCATTGCAGTCTCTGCAGTGGCCGATCCTCAAGGTTTGCTGCGGCATCTTCCTGAGGAGGTATGGCCTGGATGCAGTCATGAGCAAGCAGTGAAGGTAGAGTAAACAGTTTACCGTACACTTGGTATAAGCGGTGCAGAATGACGCGCTCTCTCCACCCCCTGCTCCAACTTTTGCTCACATGATTATAGATTACATGTTCATATTACTGCAGCTTCAGGCGGCTTACAGGTCCGGGGCCTAGGAGAGAGCCATGGCCGAACTGGGCTCTATAAAGCGCTTTGTCGCTGGACACCCGCCAGAAGTATCTGAGCCCGAGACGCTGCCTCAGTGGATCGAGAGCATTCTATGGCATTGTGTTGCCTTCATCTGGATTCTGGGGTGTGTGTGTGTGTGTGTGTGTGTGTGTGTGTGTGTGTGTGTGTGTGTGTGTCGGCTTCAAGCCTAGGAGGAAGCGCCGTCGCATCCCCCTACAAGAAGTAGTGCGAGAGCTGCAAGCAGCTGGACTTTCTCAGCCAGCACTGACCTTTGTGCAAGAAGTGGAGCCTTGCTCTTGATCAGAATTCCCTTTCTTGTACACTATATGACTTATATGGACTGTTGCAATGCCTCGTCTATGAGACATGCCAAGGATAAGAGGAGCCTCAGCAGCAGCACGGCACTCCTTCAGAACAATGTGGTGCGATGTGGGTGCTGTGATCTGAAAGACAATATGCTCTGGGCCCAATGTTGCAAAGATCATGCTGTTTGGCCGGGACGGTACGGGACGGTAGGGATGGATGCGACGGGAGGCCCTGCGGGCTGCGAGCTTTGGCGGATTTGGATTTGGCGGCGCGATGTCACGGGACGGTACGGACGGGGATCCTGCGAGGTGCGAGCTTTGGCGGCGTGATGCCACAGGACCAGGCACCCTGTGGGGTGCGAGCTCGTGGTTAAAGGGACGGGGGACCTTGCGGGGTGCGAGCTTGGGCGGCGGGACACAGGACGTTAGAGCATTTAGAGCCAAGGAAAGGTCCCTGATTTCCGATCCCCCACCCGACTTACTTAACTGTTAGGCAGGGCACTCTCGGCCTGCGCTGGAAACCTAGGTTGTTCTTTGGGTGGGTTTAAGTGGAACTGTCCTTGGACTTAAAGACGTTGCCCCAGAAAAGGTTGTGCGCTTTTCAGTTTGCGACTGCGGATACAAAAATTGGAGGCCCTGATGACTTCCCCACTGGGCAGAGGCCAATAAGGTTAGTAAGGTTTGCTTCCCAGCGGAAACACGTGGTGACAGGCCACTTGAGATATCTTGCGATTGCCAGCGTTTGGCCACACGGGGACCAACGTCGTGGCTGACAATCGATGCCAATGTTTTATTAGGTTCTGTTCACTATGTTGACGAACACTGTTTCTGGCCTGCTGAATTTGCTGGTTTAGGGTGGAGGCGGTTTTTGAGTCCTAGGCCCGTAACCAAGATCCACGGGGTCTTTGTGTACAAGCCAGACCGATGTTGGCTATCAGTCTTGCAAAAATGTCTCTTGAAAAGTCCTGCAAGCTCCAAAGTCCTGCAGCTTCCCCCAAGCCATCTGCAAGCACGCAGAGGTTCTTTTTCCAGATCAAGACTTGAAAGGTGCATGGTTTATCTATGTTTATCTCTTTTGCATTTGCAGCAGTCCCCAACGACGACTAGCACTGGAATGGCGTTGCGGTTCCTTCAAAGGCGCCGAGCCTTCCTGAGCCAGCCTTTCGAATCTTGCACAGATCATGCCCAGCAGTAGCACCTTCGAGATGTTGCAGTCCATGGTCGGTGCCATGAATCTCACCTCTGAGGAGAAGGATTGAAGGGCCTGAACTGACACTGCGAAAACGCGATGCGAATGAATTGCCCGTGATGGACGCGACAAAGAGACGAATCCCGACATTTTGAACCTTCCGATTCCTGTTTGCTTCTGCGGCTTTGGGCGTGATCTTCGAACCGGAGCGCAAACATACTGCAGACTTGGTGCACGGGCTCAGGACGGATACTCCCGGAACAAGTGCCCATCTTGCAAGTTTCAAAATGTCGCATCAGCGAGACGCAGGAGCGGTTGACGAGTGCTTGAGGAAGTGCTTTGCAGAACCTTGACGTTGTAGAACTACTGCTTCCTGATGTGGTACTGGTTGAGTGGTTGAGGAGCTAACGGCGCAAAGTGGCGCCATCGTTCCGTTCAAGCGCCCACATCTGTTTCCATCATTCCGGAGACACTTGTTTGCAATGTGGGTAGATGCAAGCTAATGGTTAGTCGTGCATTGGAGCGTGCGTGAGCATGTACTCGCGGACTGGGGTATCCAGTATTATGTGGAACCCTGTGGTCATCCAAGGCACAAACACCTGTGTACAGCTGCTCTTGTCGGGTGTCACCGGACTCACGCAAGTGACTTTGGACTCTCATGGTACAATCTTCGAGGCTCGTGCGAAGGGATGAGCTGCACATGATGCTCCATGAAGGCATGTCAATGGCATGTCCCTTGCAGTGCCAGGTCCATGATCATGGATTCATGCAGCCTGCCTCGACTGGACGCACATGTCTGGCACACGATAGACGGGTGAGCTGATGGTCGCTGAGGCTAACGGAGCTTCCGCGAGGTTGGCAACCCATAGTGAACTCGTCCGGCCGTTTGGCCCGAGTGGCAAAGGTTGCGCTGGACCCTCAAGGTGAATTGGCTGCAACTCCGAGGCGTGTGTGCATGGCGCTGCATGACACATCAGAGTCTAACATTCCTGCGAGGACGGAGGCACGGTAGTTTCTCACGCAAGCTCCTGCATGTTTTGCAAGACTCAGCAGCTGCAAGCTGCCGCATCTTCACATCCAAGGCACTGCGTACTTCTTGTCTGAGGGAGGCGAGCTGCTGATGATGGTGTGCTGACCTCAGCGCCACAGACTAGAGTCACGTGAGCGTTGTTCTTTAAAGAATGTGTCGAGCTTTCACAACGTGTTGTTTCCTCGCTCCTCTTTTTCGCGTTAGGTCTGCCGTGCGATACCTTGAGCAACCAACCTCGAGTGACGAGGAGCTGAAGCTCGAATTTGCGCTGTCCTCAGGGTGTAGCGCTTCCCTTTTTAAGTTCTGCGATGTTGTCTCTACCTTTTAGCTCTCGCTGGAGAGCATTGGATCAGGTTGACAAGGCAAAGATCCCTGCTGATGTTCGTCTGGACACCTGACACGAAGCAAGTAACAACCCAGCTGCTGGCACGCTTCCATGTGGGTGTCACACAAACATAATTTCAAGGACCTCGACCTCGATGAAGGCTTCAGTCCGTCGACCTTTGCACCATCACCAGCTGCAGAGGTCACCACTGATGAAGAGGATATTGCCTCAGAACCGCAATTGTGGCCATCTGTTGATCTATGGCCAAAATGTTTGCTCATCCATCTCGAGAGCAAACTAGGCGATGGAGTGGGATCCGATCTGATGCGAGAATCGCTGCCCGGCGAAGCGCTGCCCCTCGCCACCTACCCTGTGCTGCGTCTGTCTTGGCATGTTACTCGCGTGAAGATGTCTGGACGCAGCGAAACATCTCACTTGTCAATGTTGCAGGCGATGCGGGCCCGACAGCAGGCTGTTCG